CCACATGTGCAGCGTGGCCTACAAGTGCCCACACATACCTCTCCCTCTCCCTCCCTCTCCCTCCCCCCGCTCTCTCTCTCTCTCTCTCTCACACACACACACACACACACACACACACACACACACACACACACACACACGAAATATAAATTAATAATAATTTAAAATTTGGGACACATGGGCTCATGTAGTACAGACTGGCCTAGAACTTGTTATATAGTCAAGGATGACCTTGAACTTCTGATTCTCCTGCCTCTATCTCCCCAGCACTGGGATTCCAGGTGTGCTCAGTTTATGCCGTCTCCGTAGTAGAGATTGAACCCAGGCCTTTGTGCATGCTAGGCAAGCATTCTTCCAATTGAACACCTTTCTGGTCCAATAATGATAGTATCACAACGTTTAGAAAAAAAATCAAATCAAATCCTATCCCCCTTTAGAGCTCATGCCACTTCATGAAAATCTTTGTTTCCTTGTGGAGTTCTTCTCCTCCTCCTCCTCCTCTTCCTCCTCCTCCTCCTCCTCCTCCTTCCTCTTCCTCTTCCTCTTCTTCCTCCTCCTTCTCCCCTCCTCCTTCTTAGGCCCTGCACAGCACTTTGCCTCTCCCTTACAGCTTATAACCTGCCCTTTTTGCAGCAAGAGGCCAGGTTTGCTCTGTCTTGGATCCCATTCCCCATAGGGCAGGGGCACAATACACATACGTTGGGTCAATTGGAGCCTGCAGTTTGGGCTGTTGGGAGCAGAAAAGGGGTGAGGAAGGGGTGCTATGGTACTTCAGGTGATGGTAGGAGTATGCAGAATGGGGAGCCAGGGTCTGTACAGTGAGGATGAGGAGCAGTCTTGGCCTTCTAGATCCTGATCAGGAAAAAGAAGCCCTTTGTTGAAGAGTACAGCAATCTGGAGAGTCTTGGAAATGAGGTGGGTTGATGGAGGGTGCCAGGGTCTTGGGAAGGACTCCAGGTTGCCCTGAGCCAGGTCTACACATTCTTAGTGATAGACCAAAACTGGGGGGAGGGGATAGAACCTAGAAGCTCCGGGTCTGGTTGACCCCTCCTTCACTCTCTAACTGTGCAGCCTGGGGCAAATATGTCCCCCTCTGGGTCTATTCATCGGTAAGATCGGCGCTAGACTCCTAAATTCTGAAGACTCTTTCAGCTCTGGTATTCTCGCTCTGTCAGCTTGCTCCCCAGGTCTCAACAGCCGAGCTGGTCTCCCCAGAAGGACCAGAGCTTGTGGCCACAGGGGCGGGGGGCCAGGGCGGGGGCCGGGGTGGGGCTCTGTGTGTGTTGTGTGTTCTCCATAAGCTGTGATCTCACTTGGAGGAGGCTGAAGTAGAGCAGGTAGAGACAACAGCCTGATTCAGAGCAAATAGGGGCAATTAGCCAGGCCCCGGGAAGGGTTTTGAGTGACCATATCTTTCCCTTGCCTCTTTTGTGCTCCCTGTCCTCTCCCATACCTGTTCCCATCGAGTGATGCTGAATCCTAGTAACTCAGCTCTGCTCCTTGGAGGATGTCATGGAACCTCTCTGAGCCTCCGTTTCTGCATTTGGAGATATTAAAACTGACCAGAAGACTGGGTGAGGAAACTGCTTGTATGAAAGGTCCACTAGCATCGTGCCCGCTTTCAGGCTGGAAAAGAACAGCTGGTACTCATTGTCCCCCAGGTCCCAAGCCAATGGTCAGTGGTGCTTTGCCCGGGGCTCTAGTGTGGGGTGAGGCCTATGGAGGGACAGGCTGATGCAGGTGTTGGATGGGAGCTCCTGACAGAGAAGCAAGGCTCAAGCTGTTCTTGATTGCCACTGAGATGGCCGCTCGGCCCATAAACCTGTTTATTGTGTTGTTATGGAACCAGAGGTGTCTGCAGTTTTTCTTTGGGGGGTCCAGGATTGAGACTGGCTGCTGGTTAGGAAGCAGACAGCATGGTCAGGCCTGTTCATTCACAGTGGATGTTCCTGCCACTCTTTTGAGCCCGGTTCATCCGAGGCCCTCAGTTTCTAATCTGGTTGGGAAGGATTTATTTTTGGGTCCTTGTAACCTAGCAATGGGCTCACATGACCAGTGGCAGCTGCAGGCTGAATATACTGTTGGATCTCGGCTCCTGGCAGGGGGTGTGGGCCAGACTGTGGGGGAACAAAAGGAATGGAAAGGCTCTCACCTCTGCCCAGCCCTCTCAAATGCGGGCAGGGGGAGGTGGATGCCCAGGGAGCAAGCACCTTGGTGCTGATGCTGCTGGGTCTCTGGACAGCTAAGGCCTGAGCCACAGTGGAGAGGCCCCAGCTGAAAGCCTGCTCTTGGAGTGTCTGTGTTGGGATGGAATGATTGGGTGTCCAGTGGATGGAGATGGATTCAGAGAGGACAAAGTGCTGGCATGCTGGGGTGAGGCCAGACAGGAGCACAGGTGGCTTAAGAGGCACTCTGTATTTAGTAATGGGATCTCAGGGACACTCCTGGTCCTTGCTGTGGCCCCCCAGCGTTTTGCCCCCTCCCTTTGTTTCCTGTTAAATTGTTAATATTCCTCGGAGAGAGAACACATGAAGCTGCTCTCTGTGTGAATGGATTGATCAAGCTCTTTCTTGAGCAGATTTTGGCAGAAGGCAGAGGGGCAGGGAAGGATGAGAGGATACCGCTAAGCAGGAAAGGCACTTCAAGGAGGTCCAGAAAGCCACTTAACGTTTACTGAGAAAGGATGCACAGCTGAAAGATAAATCTGCTCAGCTTCAAGGTTTCATCCCGGGCAGAAAAGGGTGGATGGGATGGACAAAGTCTCTCAAGAGATGAGGGTGGGCAAAGATGGGGTAGGGCTCTGTTGAGTTCCCAAGGTTCCACCTGACCCTCAAAAGAGACATGGCACTGTGGGGAGGGGGTCTTTTCCATCCTGTGACAGGGGTCCCAGGTGTGCCCACTGGACCAAGGGCTGCTGGTGGGGTTTAGAAGAAGACCATGTCCAGTTTCTCTCCCTTGGTCTTCTCTCCTCCTCCACTGTGCTGGAGAGACCGAGCTGGGTGTAGTGGCTTAGACCTGTCATCTCAGCATCCAGAAGGCTGAGGCAGGAAGATCACACATATAAGGTTAGCCTAAGTTACAGTGCCAGGCATTTTCTCAAAAACAAACAAACAAACAACCTTAAGTAAACGGACTAGAGGAAGGGTGTCAGGCCAACAGCTACTGTGACCCTCACTGAATAGACCTCAGGAGGTCACAGCAGCCCCTTTACTGTTACTGGCATTGCTGCTCTCCGTTGACCCAGCCTTAGGCAGCTTCTTCCCCTGCCCACCGGTCCTTTTCCTCTTCTTCTCAGAGGTAATTTGTGCCTTAAACGGTGGCATGAGGACTGAAGATGTTACAGGTCATGAATCTACCACTCATTAAGAATTCAGAGATAGAGAATGGTGGTAGCTGAGATCATTTACCAGCTTTAGGGAGTCAGTTCTCTGGGCCAGCCTGGCTGGGTGGGGGGTGCACGCCTTTAATCCCAGCACTTGAGAGGCAGAGGCAGGAGGATCTCCGAGTTCGAGGCCAGCTTGGTCTACAGAGCAAGTTCCAGGATGTTACACAGAGAAACCCTGCATTGAAAAAAACCATTTAAAAAAGAAAAAAGAAAAAGTCAGCCTGTCCTTCCGAGTCTCTTGGGTGGGTAAGTCACTGGTTTTATGTGTTGTCTAGATCTAATAAACAACTCTAGAATTCCCTTGGAGCCAGAAGGAGGTGTTGAATATGCAGGTGACTCCCCACGAGGCTCTGGGGGCAGCTCCAGATCTGATCTGAATTTCCTCTCAAGGCTTGCTATGTGGGGTGTAGACTTGGAGCAATGTCCTCACCTCCAGAGTATGGATGCCTTGGGGCCCAAGGGTTGGCACAGCAGTTAAGAGCGCTTGTTGCTCTTACGGAGGACCCAGGTTGGGTTCCCAGCACCCATATGGTGGCTCACAACCATCCATAATTCCAGTTTCAGAGGATCCAACATCTTCTTCTGACCACCACGGGCAGCACACAGGTGGTACACATACATAGAGGCAGGCAAAACACCCATACACCCAAAACAAAGCTAAAAGAGAGAAAATACTGAGGTCATATTCTGTGGAAATCATAAGCTGCCAGCCATTAAGCACCTGTCCTTGTTGTCAGCCACCGACAACATTCTTCAGAGCTAGCAGGAGGCCAGACCCTGTGTCTCCTTTCTAAGGGTTTGTCAGGCAAGGTGGCACTCTGTGAGTGATGCTCTCAGCTCTGTCCAGCCTGACAAACACAGACCAACCAGAGCCTTCCTGAGAGTCTGCCTTCACAGAGCAGAGGGAGGTGTGGAGGTGTGGAAGGTAGTTTCAGGAGATACTAGATTCCCATCTCCATTAACCCTCACAGCGTCATCCCAAATAAACATACAGTATAAGAAAATAATAGTGAGTGCTTTGGATGGGGATAGGTACAAGGTCACGAGAGAGTCTTTGACGCCTCCTCAAATCCCACTGCTACCCCTTAATCTATCTGCGGCTATACAAATTTGTCACTTTCTGAAGGAGTCAAACCATGAATCTGCCTCAGGAATCTCAGCTCTTCAAAGGCCTAGCCTTGGAGTTCCGGCTGTGCGTGGACCTGCCCACTACAGAAGCACCTTGGTTCTGGTATCATACAGAACCGTGCAATAAATAATAAGGCTGTCAGAAACCTCAGGGATCATCTACCCTATAATCCTATTGAACAGATAAGAAACAAAGGCCAAATGGAAATGACTGGCCCAAGGTAACTCAGCTATTAAGTGCCCAGGACTTTTTCTTTTTCAGGACGTTTGGGAGGGTTTCCCCTTCCTGTTTGCCATGAGCTGGCTCCTGGAAGCTTTTGAGATGCAATACAGAATCCCCAGAGAAATATGAGGGATGGAGCTTCCTGAGCACTCTGCCGGGGAGCCCTGAGGCCCAGCTGTTTGCTCCAGAAGTGGCTCTAAGGGGCTGGTGGAAAGCAGGAGGTCACTAGGACCCAGAAGCTCTCTGAGCATCCTGCTCTGCTGGCTGCCTCTCTCCGCTCACTGCAGTGGTTCAGGCTTCAGCAGCCTTGGAAAAGCATCAGCTGAGAGGAGCTATCACATAGGAGCTGGGAGATGCTCAGCAAAGGTAGGAGCTGCCGACTAGGCCAGGAATGGGGGCCAGACCCAGGGCCTGGTGAGGAGCGCTGCCTCACCTTACTGAAGGGTGGCATTCCAAGGGGCAGCCCACCCTGCTGTGTGGTGGGCAGTTCTGTCAGAGGATGGGCTCCCAGGTGTCCCAAAGGTAGTATTGGGATGTGGGCATCTTTAAAGCCTAGAAATGGGAGATTGATCATCTCCTACTGGCAAGAGTAACTACACCCTGCAACAGACAGCAGTCTGTCTGCCTTGCTCTGTGTCATAGAGCTAGGTCCCCACATCCTAGGAATAGGCCCTTCAGCATTCCAGGATGATGGGCATCCAAGTCCTGGGCGTGGGCAGCTCGGCTAGGCAGAGGTGTTGAAGGTCCCTGGAAATCTCCCCTGGCCTAAGAGGGCCATATTCTTGCCTGAAGGCAGGCCCAGTGCTGATCCTTGGCACAGAAGCTCTGGATGTGAGAAACAGGTACATGTGAATCCCAACAACACCTCTGTGGCCTTGGGCTAGGCACGTGTGCATATCCTACATCCTGAAATGAGGAGATCTGTCATTGTGATCCTGGCCCTGCCAGAGACCAGACCTCAGACCCTAGAGTGGCAGAGCCTTCCAGGTCCTGAAAGGTCTTGGAGGTGATGCTGAAGGAAGAAGTGGGAGGATGCGAGCATCTGTTGAGGTAGAAAGCGTGATGACATGAGTTAGGAGTGGAGTCAGACTCCTTGGATTCCCCCTATGAAGCCATTACACCACTGCCCTACCCTCCATAACCTCCTATCAATGAAAGAGTACCAAGTAGCCAAGTATATTGGTCTGTCTGTTATGAGGTAAATTGGAATCCTGGCATTTGAAGTCACTGTAGAAATTTGATAAGACTGGAGGGGAGGGGGCTTAAGAAAGAAAAATGCCTAGTGCTTTCTTGCCCAAGGCTCCATCATGGCTGCAGAGCATCCCTACGTGTCCATGTGTCCACAGGAAAACCATGTCCGCTCTTATCGGTCAGGGACTGTAGCTTGGTCTTGCTGGATTGGTATATCCTGCTATCCACTTACAAATAGTGGATTCTTGCTCCTGTAGGTACCACGTCTTTTAGGCCTCACTCCCAGGCAGAATGGATATGGAGAGTAAAGGGTAAAGACGCATCCTCTAGGTTTCTTTCAGGCGGTTTTTTTTTTTTTTTTCCTGGTAGACTGCCTTATGAGAATTTGACATCTCCCTGGAGAGAGGCAAGTCTCTAGGCAGTTGTCCAAAGTTAGGGAAGCCGAAAATCCAGGAGCCTGGGCTATCCTCTTCAGAAGAGAATCCCCTGGCTGGCACACAGATGACTGACTGAATATTTCGGGAGTTTGTACTCTGGGGCCAGGATCCAGTTAACCAATGTGAGTCTGATTCAACGCACAAGGATCGCACTGAACACCTAATGCATGGATGGCACCTGAGAAGTTGGATTAGCGTGAGGTTTATGGAGCCACCCCAGACCTATGGTGATTGTAAAGCAACTCGGGGAGACGTGAGGCTCTGGCGGGCTGTGTGGTTCTCCTCACTGCAGTTATAGAACTGACTGGCTTGTTTTTATGTGGAGCAACCGCCAGGTGCTCCCCATCCCAGGAACTCACGGAGTAGTAAAATGCTCTGTGTAGGAAGCTGGATGGGTTTCTAGTCCACTCCTCCCATTTTACAGTTGTAGAAAGTGTGGCCCAGAAAACTTTTAACTTGTTTACAGAATGGGCATCAGACTTCCCATGTCTGTGGCTTGTCTTAAAGCTGTGTAACTCAGCGTACTGTATTGACACATACATACACATATATATATATAATATTTTTATATATACACATATATATACACAATATATACACATATACCCTGTGGACAACCTGTTTCAATTACGTACCAGCTTAATGTGAATGACACATAAAACAGATACAACCTGTCATTTGCTCAGGAGATATGGGAGGTGCTGATTTAGTCTGATCTTCTCTCTTCTATGGGTACCTAATTCTATAATCAAAGTCCTCTACCCTGCCCCCAACACCTTCACCCTTTTCACGTGGGCATTCACTCTCTCACCCTTTGTTCTGTGACCATGGGAGGAGGCCAGAACCAAAAGGGCTTCAGGGTGAGCTGCTCTTCTTCCACCAGCCAGGACACAGAAGCAGCCATCCCAAGAAGCTAAAGAGCAGGTAGCTGAGCCGGGCGGGCGGTGGCGCACTCCTTTAATCCCAGCACTCAAGAGGCAGAAGAAGGCAAATCTCTGAGTTTGAGGCCAGCCTGGTCTACAGAGTGAGTTCTAGGACAGCCAGGGCTACACAGAGAAACCTTGTCTCAAAAACAGAACAAACAGGCAAACAAAAGAGTAGGTGGGGAAGGACAGCTTTCAAATGGCATGTGCCCGCTGGCCTTGGGCGCTGAGGAGCAGATGAGCTGGCGTTCCTTGCACCTGGGCATTCTGCCTTCACTGCAGCTTCCTCATTATTCCCAGACTGGCAGCTCTTTGACTACAGCACCGTTGTCCTTAGAGTGGTGAGAGACGTGAGGGTCTGTTCACCTTCAACAATGACTTACCGAACACCTAGATTCTAGTCCATGTGGAGGCTACCTTCCTGCATAGAACAGCAGAGTAGGCAAAAGAACTGTCCCTGGAGCCAGACTGCCTTAACTTGTCTCGCCTGTGTTGTGTGGCTTTGGGTTCTCTAGGCTGCGGGTCTATCTGTGGAGATCAGGCTGTCTCAGAGGATCGTGTGAGGCTGAAAATGAGTTGATGAGCATCGAGTGCATAGGATGGGGCCTGGCCTGGGCAGAGCACCATGTAAACATTATTCCATGTGACTGGTGTTGCTATTAAGCAACCAAACCAGACCCAGTGAACAGTTACGAAATAGGTGTTATTCCTTCCTTTAACAGATGCCTTCATGAGGAAACTGGAGTCCAGAAGAGTTGCAGAGTGAGTAATGCCCAGACCTGGAACTAGAAGCTGAATCTTATTCTCCTACTCCCCATTCTGATGAAAAATCAGAAAATTCACACAAGCTACCCTAAAGCCAGGGCACTGTCCTAGAGCTCAGCAGGACCCTGGAGAAGGGAGACAAAGGATTTAGAATTGCCCTCAAAAGGGAAGAAAAGCATGGAGAACTAGAAAAGGAAGTGGGAACAGAGGTGCCAGAGACCACTTGGAAGGTGGCATGCAGCAAGTATGTGAGGATCAGTCCCTTGCCTGTCGGCTGCTACCATCACCGGGGCTGACCCTGGGGCTACCTTGCGACAGAAACTGGACATGAGCTCCTGAGTTCAGAGCTGCCTGGCCTGGCACTACCACAGAGGAGCCCAGCTTGGAAGGCTAGTGATAAGGGCCTGCCTACAGGCTCCTGTGGAAGGCCCCCAACGAAATCGGGAAGCCTAGGCCTGGGCTTTACATCCCAGGGCTGTGGAGTAGGATGGGGGATGGGCCTGTAACGGGAAGTGCCCTGGGTGTCCTCTTTCGGCCCCATGGAGTCCTCACCCATCCCTCAGTCATCAGGAAACTTGTCTACTTTGGGAAGAGTCCTTCAAACCCCAGGTCCCTCTACTGCCAGCGGGGTCCCAGAATTGGGACTTCAGGACGTGGCTTCAGAATCTGTGGCCCTCTTCTTCATGCTCCTGTTGGACCTTACTGCTGTGGCTGGCAACGCTGCTGTGATGGCTGTTATCGCCAAAACACCTGCCCTCCGAAAATTTGTTTTTGTCTTCCATCTCTGTCTGGTGGACCTGCTGGCTGCCCTGACCCTCATGCCCTTGGCCATGCTGTCCAGCTCCGCCCTCTTTGACCACGCGCTCTTCGGGGAGGTGGCCTGCCGCCTCTACTTGTTCCTGAGTGTTTGCTTCGTTAGCCTGGCCATCCTTTCGGTGTCTGCCATTAACGTGGAACGCTACTATTATGTGGTTCACCCCATGCGCTACGAGGTACGCATGACGCTGGGCTTGGTGGCCTCCGTGCTGGTGGGCGTGTGGATAAAGGCCCTGGCCATGGCTTCTGTGCCAGTGTTGGGAAGGGTCTCCTGGGAGGAAGGAGCCCCCACTGTTAACCCAGGCTGTTCTCTCCAATGGAGCCATAGTGCCTACTGCCAGCTTTTTGTGGTGGTCTTTGCTGTCCTTTACTTCTTGCTGCCCTTGATCCTGATCTTCGTGGTCTACTGCAGCATGTTCCGAGTGGCTCGTGTGGCCGCCATGCAACACGGGCCGCTGCCCACGTGGATGGAGACCCCCCGGCAACGCTCTGAGTCTCTCAGTAGCCGGTCCACTATGGTCACCAGCTCCGGGGCTCACCAGACTACTCCACATCGGACGTTTGGGGGTGGGAAGGCAGCAGTGGTCCTCCTGGCCGTAGGGGGACAGTTCCTGCTCTGTTGGTTACCCTACTTCTCTTTCCATCTCTACGTGGCCCTGAGCGCTCAGCCCATTTCAACGGGACAGGTGGAGAATGTGGTGACCTGGATTGGCTACTTCTGCTTCACTTCCAATCCTTTTTTCTATGGATGTCTCAACCGTCAGATCCGGGGCGAGCTTAGCAAACAGTTCGTCTGCTTCTTCAAGGCGGCTCCAGAGGAGGAGCTGAGGCTGCCTAGCCGGGAGGGCTCTATTGAGGAGAATTTCCTGCAGTTCCTCCAGGGGACTTCTGAGAACTGGGTGTCCAGGCCCCTACCCAGCCCCAAGCAGGAGCCACCACCTGCTGTTGACTTTCGAATCCCAGGCCAGATTGCTGAGGAGACCTCGGAGTTCCTGGAGCAGCAACTCACCAGCGACATCATCATGTCCGACAGCTACCTCCGTCCTGCCGCCTCAAAGAAGGGGGAGTCATGATGGACACTTGGAGGGAAATAAGGCTTGGGGCTGGTTTATGATCTTAAAGACTGTCTTTTCCAGCTGCTGGGGTGTGGGCTGGGGTCTCTGGACTTGGCTTTTGCTTGGTGTTTCCTGGGTCAGGACCAGAGTCAACAGGATGGACATGTGGCAAAAGCCTTGGACTTGGCTATGATCTTTGACTATTGGGGGAGGGGAACCTGGGTATGGTGAGACCGATGATGAGAGAAAAGGGTCACAAAGGTGAGGCGAAACCTTTCTACCAGTGAACTTTTCATGCCTCAGGAAACAGGGAAACTTCCTAAGGGTAGGCATTGGAGCAGCAGGCTAGCAGCAGGGTTATTCTGGGGACCGTTGAGGTTTACTTCTTTCTGGTGTAATAGTCCAGGGTAACATTTACATTGAAACAAGGTAAGGAAATAGCCCACATCTTCTCATTTGCTTACTAGGTTAAAAAAGAACAAAACTGTAGCCAAGTGTTACCTGAGTTCGTAGATTCCTTTTTTAAAAGTTAATGTCGACGATTTCTCTTAAAGTGAGTAGACCAGTAGGGTGAAGTCTCTCTGGGACTTGGCCAGCAGCAAGGAGAAACTGCAGGAAGGGTAGTGGAGGAGAAGACAGGAACACTCTCTGCAGCTCTCTCTCCCATTCTGCTCTTCCCTGCATGTAGGAGATCAAGTACGGAGATCTCAGCAGAGACAAACAGGAGACAGGCCGCCCCTTTCCTCCCTGTCTCTCGAGGAACTAATAGAATGATTGGGGTCAGAGAGCTGAGGGTGGGGGTTAGCCTTTGAATCGGTAACATGGCCGGATACAGGAAGGCCAGGTAAGTTACTCTGATCAATAATACTGCCAATCTTTTCTTTCCAGGACTGGCCTCCCCGATCTCTCTCCTCATGGCAGTGACCCACTTCCAGCCCCCTGGACAATCGGGCACAGGAAGGAGACTAAGGTCGGGCAAGGGGAAGGGTGGGGCTTCCATAGTCCGTGAAATGCCTCCCTGTTCTCGTTCACTGCTCTCAAAATCAGCTTCTGTGATAAAGACTTAATACCTGCAGCCCTAGGTTGGAGAGAAGGCAGATTTTTGGGCTTTGGTGTTTATTATGACTATAGGAACCATATTGGTTAGTGTCAGCAATGATATTTTCAATGCAGAGGGATTCATTGCAAGCTGGACAGGCTGCCTATCTGGGACCTCCTGTCCATTCCACTTCCTTGAGTTGACTACCAAAGGGTCAAGGCAGAATCAGAGGGTGATGTGGTCTATACCTGAACAAATTTCTGGTTCATTGAACAACAAAGGGGGAAAGTGTGTTGGGGTGGAGTAGTTTCCCCTTTGGACAACTAATAAATTTTATGATAAAAGTTATATTGATATTAACACTGATTCCTTCAGTTCTATTCAATGCATAAATAGTTGAACGCCAACACTTTCTGGGACACACACAGATGATGTGTGGTCTCTGCCTTCAAGGAGCTCATAGTCTAACTTGATCAGATATTTGTATTTTTGTAGAGCATATAGGTCTGATTATCCATGGTTCTATCTTCTGAGAATTCACTGAAGTGATGCAGAGCCTCCCTGCAGACTGTGACAAGTGTGGGAGTGTAAACAAAACTCTCTAGTGAAGAAAACAACCTGCTAAATAAAACTTGGCACACAGCTTTTTCCCCTTTTGGATTAGGTAAATTTCCAGGTTTCTGTCTTCCTATCTTTTGTGTATTCTTCTAGTCTAGTGCCTATTATACTGAGGAAATCCCATAGAAGGTATACACAGCAAGGAGAGTCCTTTCGTCCTCAAAACCATCTCCCCCTCTCTCCTGAAATAAACTCATGCTGAGAAATCTCCTTCCTACTGTATCATAAGGGAAAATTTTCATACACTATTAATCTACCAATCAGCTAGTAGACCCAGAAACTGCCAGAAGATGGCAGTGTGAGCCCAGTAGCAACAGGAAAGGCCTGAATGGGCGTGTGTGTGTGTGTGTGTGTGTGTGTGTGTGTGTGTGTGTGTGTGTGTGTTAAACATTGCTTGGCAGCCATTTTGTTAATTTTTTTTTTTTTTTTTTTACTTTGCCCTCCAGTCCTTCACATAAAAGGAAGTTTTAGGTGCAATGATAGTTCTAATTCATACTGAAATAACCTGACACTGAGATCTTGCTGCCATTAACTAGTAAGTTTGGCATATAATCATTCGCTTGCTTTTTTTTTTTTTTCTGGCTGTATGGAACAGATAATAAAGGAAATAAAACTTTCCTTTTTATTATGCAGAGAACTTTCTCTACAACTTTTGCTATAACTACTTTACAGGAATTTTCTAGTCACCAAGATGTATTGGTAAAGTCCAATATACAGTCCTTAGCTCTTGAAAGGTGTTCCTGGAGCAACAGGATGAGACCATCATCCTGTCCGTTACTGTTGCCTACATCTTGGTATTGAGGTGACTGCCATCCTAGATTAAAACAAAACCAAAACCAAAAACCTTAGACTTTCTGTTGTCAGGTGTCCCCCAAGCAATACCTTCTAGAGGCCTGGTAGAAAAAGTTCAAATCAGGTAAATGTACTTACCGTGTGGATGTGGGAAAGCTGCTTAATTTTTCTGAGCCTATTTCCTCATCTGTGACAATGGGGATCAATATTACCTACCTCACAGGGTTGTTGTGAGGATTAAGAGATGAGACATGGCAGCACCTAGTCATACCTGGCAAATAGGTATTCAATAAATGTTGTGTTGTTTCCCTTCTCCTTTTGCCCTTTTCCCCCCCAGAAGTGGTCATAGAGGAAAAGCAGCCTCTTTCTTTTTAATGGTCATTTGGAAATGATTGGGGTACTTTTCAGACTTGGACTGATAAGCATTATGGTAAAGTGGATGAGGTTAATCTCCTAATTAAATGGTTCTAATTAATTAATTTTCACTGTACAGACCTTTCTGTTGGGGATTTGTACTTAAAGTTTAGCTTCTACTAGAGAAATACATTTTAAATTCCAGGGAAAGATTTCAATGGCTGCAAAAAATGTGCCCTTTCCTAAAAGTGGTGAGTCACTGTGGGACTATTTGGCAGTAAAGGTATTTTAGGATTACCTTTAGTAATGTTATGATTTATTTACAAATCTTCAGGCTATACTAGAGAGACGACTTTTACTAAACTCCCCTTTTCTGTGGTTATCATATAGGAACTCTCGTTAAAGAAGGATGCACTGGTTTGCTTCTGGGCATGGGACTAAGTAGAGCCCTTGGTTTATATTGGAGAAAGAGAAGCGTGGAAATGTTGTGTGAACTAAACCTGTTTTCCATGTTCTATTATTTGCTAGAAGTCGAGTGATCCTTTGTTACCATAGGAGTGCCAGGCAAATGTACAGCTCACAGAAATTCATACGTTGTAGCAGAAGGACTAAGATATACTTAAGAGCAGGAGGAAGCCTACTCCTAGGCATCATCATGGGTTGTAGCATCAGGCATAGACGGAACCCAGGCTGGGCAGTGTGTCCCATTTCAAAGATCAGACTGGGACAACTTTGGCTAAAGTGTCCAACACTCGGCTTTGGGCAGAAATTCGGGCTCTACAACCACAGATCAAAAGGGTTTTTCTGGCCAGGGAGACTTTTCCCAAGTTAAATTTCCAGAGGGCTGTAAGCTCTTATTTAGGAATCCGGTTCTCACCACCAAACCTTCTGGGCGACCTCAAGAGGACACCGCGAGCTGGAAGTCCCTCTTTTCCTACACTTATCTAAGCCCAAGAGCCCAAGAAGTAAACGAGTATTAAGGCTGGGAGGTGCGGAGCGACGGATCTCCAGCACTCCACGGGAACAGCCAGTCTCTCGGAGACTTCCGCTTTCCGTACCCCTTTCGCTTCCCACCGCCGCAGTGCTCTGAGTGGGAACGGCCGCTGGGCGTCGCCGGAAGTGTCGTAAACAGCAGATATCCGGTTCTTCCGGGCGCTGGGGGAGCTGACGGAGAAGGCCACCGCCCAGCCGAAGACGCGTCTCAGCCGGTGTAGTCGTGGTTCCCGCGGTGTGTGAGTGAGCCCGGGCCCGGTCCCCTCTCCCGCCGCCGCCATGGGCTGCACGTTGAGCGCCGAGGACAAGGCGGCGGTGGAACGGAGCAAGATGATTGACCGCAACTTGCGGGAGGACGGGGAGAAAGCGGCCAAAGAAGTGAAGCTGCTGCTCCTCGGTGAGGGGCTGGGGGCGGAGCTGGAGTGCTAGGTTCCCGAGAGCCGGGCCCCCGGAGCGGGCTGAGCTGATGGGGGTCTGGCTAGGCCGGCGGGAAGGACCCCAAAGGGACCGGGAAGGGGGATGCCCGGCATGGGGCGGGTTCTGGGCTTGGTGATTGAGGCCCCGGAAGGCGTGGGGATTTCAGGTTGGAGAGGGTGTAACCGGCCTGGGATGGCGCTTAGCACAGAGTTTGGGAGTTTGGAGCTTTGAGGCTGTGTTGAGAATCCGGGAAAGGCCCATAAAGGGAGGGACCGATATTAGGGAAGATTTCCCATTGGGTTGGAACGTGTTGAGGAGGTTAGTGTATGGTGTCAGGTGGGCCTGTCCGGGGTTTGTGTGAGTTTGATACTTGATGGCAGGATAAAAAGCTGGAAGGATTGAGTGATTGGAGAAGCTAGGACAGAGGGGTCACATAAAGAACCTGCTGTTTGTAAAAGAGCGCACGTATTTTTTTGTCCTGTTAGGTGGATTGTCCAGGCACGTAAAGGGGGAGGCGGGTGAAGTAAGTGGGAAGTTCTTAGGTATAAAAGAAAAGAACTTGGGTGCAAAGGCCGGCTATACTTTTTCAACTTTTCCTATCTTTTTTTTTTTTTTCCTCTTGAGGTTTTGTTTTTATTAAAGGGATAGGAATGGTGTAAGCTGAGAAAATTGAAAGAATGCAATCTTTGAGGTTTGTGATAGAGGACTAATGGGCAGTAGATTACAGTGGGGACGTTCTAGGAATGATGTGCGCTGGGAAGTAGAATAGGATAATGTATGGAATGGGGCATATTTACTATAAAGATTGTGGTAAATTTGGGGGGAGTTGTTTTTTATTGGGTTTTTAAAATAAAAATATTAGCTTCCAGACTACAGCATGCTGCTTTATACTCAAGTGGCTTTTATATATAGTCAGACGTGTTTTAGTTAGGATAATTTAGTTTTAAACTTTGATAGGCCCAGTAAATCACATAAAATTCTCTGGTATTAGCTTACCAATAAATCCAGCCACATTCATTATTCATATTTTTGAGGAATCAGTTAGATGAGACTATGTACGAGTCACAGGTTCTGTCAGCAGCAGAACTTTTAGATAAATTGAGTTCTGAGGAGTCACAGTAGAGTACCAATTTCACTTTGTGAAGCTCCAGAGGACAGACACAACCACCATAATCTCAGACTTACTTGGTGCTTTAAGATGTGCTGGGTGCTTGTTTATATGTTGTGGAAGCTCTAGGTGACAGCTTGACTATAAAGAAAAAGGTACGCAATGGAATTTGAGCTTCCAGAAGATAGGAAGTCAAATCATAGCTCTAGACGGCCAGTGTCTATGTAACAGGTACCTAAGTATTTAATTAACCAACCAGCTCCCTCAAGCTCATGGTGAACATGGGTTCATGGGGACCTTTCAGAAGTTTGATATAAAACACCACCCTTGCTAGTTTTCTCCCTTGCCTTAATTTTTTTGTTTTGAGACAATATTACTACGTAGCCTTGGTGGGCCTCCCGTTCTCCATCCCCCTGCATCAACTTCCCCAGTGCTGGGGTTACAGCTTGTATCACTGTACCAGTGACATTAGCATTTTTCTCTTTTTAAAAAATGATTTATTTATTTTTATTTCATGTGCATTGGTGTTTTGCCTGCATGTATGTCTGTATGAGAGTGTCATCCCCTGGAAATGGAATTACAGACAGTTGTCAGCTGTCATGTGGGTGCTGGGAATTGAACCCAGATCCTTTGGAAGAACAGTCAATGCTCTTAACCAATGAACCATCTCTCCAGCCCCCGTTGTTAGCATTTTCTGTATTGATCTTAAAGATCTTCTGTGATTTGGTTTCTATTGACCATTGAAAAACTTGGGCAAGCAGAACTATCCAAGCATCTGTAAAAATCTTTATTCAGGGCCTTTAATTAAAACTATTAAAAAAAAAATTAAAAAAAAAAATTAAAAAAAAAAAACTATTAAATACACCATAGCTTAGAGAATTTGAAAAGTTTAAGTAACAGTCAAAGTACTGAAACATTTGTTTTTCATTTTTACCAGCTTTATTTATTTATTTAGCATGTTGTTTTATTTTGAGACAGTATCTTGGTCTTGACATTCATGAGATCCTGTAGCTGAGATGTGTACCACATCATGAAATTTATTTTTCTCTCAGGATCTTTTTACAGCAGTATCTTGAGCAAATTAAACCAGTAAGTTGAAGTAGGTTGAGAAGCATCTGGTCTTAACCTGACTTGTGTCATAATACCTTGTGAGGTTAAAATGATCTTTCATGGGGCTGGAGAGATGGCTCAACAGTTAAGAACACTTGCTGTTCTTACAGAGGACCCGGATTAGGTCTCAGTACCCCTGTGGCAGCTCACAACTATCTGTAGGCATGTACCTGGTACAAATACATACATGCAGATTAAACACTTAGACATAAAATTAACAAATCTAAAAACTTAAAAAAAGATCTTTCATGATATTTCTCTAAGTAAAATTTGCCTATATTGTGTATAAAAATCACCCTATATGGTATTCCAGTTATTCCCCACCCCCCATTTTTTGGGCTTCAGAAAGTTTCCTTTGGTACATGTAAGCCATTTTTACTTCAACAGTGTGAGACTATTCAATTTAGTTTAAATTGAAATCTACTTCTCTTGTCTCTCCTGATTCGAATATTTTCTTTCTTATGTGGCTATGATTATGTGTAGTGATTGCAGCATGGAATTTGAAGTCAGAATGCTTCAAATTCTAATTTATGTTTACTAGCTGTAACCTTAGGAAAGTAATTTCCATTTGCCTCAGTCTCTTTATTTTTAAGGTATGGAAAGTAGAGATCCTACTGGAGGGAATTGCTGGGAGGATTAAATATGATAATAATATAAATCCAAACATGTCCAGTGAATATTAACTGTCCATTATTGTTAAAAGTCAGTGTTACAGATTAAAAATACTGTAGAAGTTTGAATTAGTAAGTTAGTATAGGCTTCATTACTAACTAAGGAAGACTTCAGTATTATAATTCCTCCTTTGGCTTGAATTTCCTTTAGATACTATTGGGAAGATCTTGTGCCAAATTGATGTTTAACCAGAGTTTGCTACTGAATTGTATAAATATCCCCAACCAGTGTGTATAGGGTGGTGTGTAGGTGTGCTACTTGGAATTGTATATTCAGATTTAAGTCTTGTTTGGAGACAGGGGCTTATTGTGTGTGTAGCTCAGATTAGCCTGTAACTGTCCTGTGTCAGCCTTCCAGCACACAGGATTGTATGTGGCTCCACACCCAGCTCTGAAAGCATTTTACAACTTCTACATTGACAGCAGTTGAAATAGTGTTTAGACTGCTTTTCGTGTGACTCTCTGTAAACTTCTTCAATTGGATCATTTGAAGAGAAAAATTATTTGCAAGGTTTATACTAGTTCATTATTTAATAACCTGTAATGCTTTACATTTCATTTTCATGGCATAATCTTGTAATGTAAAGAAAGATATCTTCTACCAAAGCCTTCCAGTACGTCATGATGTCTCAAAAGTTGGGAGGTGCAAGTATAATGAGT